GGGGGAAAAAAACCGCGGGAATAAAAAAAAATGGAAAAAAAAAAAAAAAAAAAAACTTGTGAAAACTCACAGGTATTTCCAGTGACTGCAGTGTAAGGTCACATGGCGGCTTGAGAGCTTTCGGTCTGGAGGCAAACCAGTAGGTGGTGATGGCGGCGAAGGCGCCCATACCCATGAGGGCGTTCGTCGGAAAGCCTCGGACATACTGCCGAAAGTCGTCCAGCTCGGGAATCCGCAGCTGTCTGAGGACTTCCTGAGCTTGCATGGCTGATACAAACTGAACCTGCACAGAAACAGAGGAAGACATTCAGACTGACCACTGGTCTATTAGTGAATCTAAAAACTTTGAGTGTTCATTTCATTCAGACAGACAGATTTTTTGAGAAACACATCTACTAACAGTAAGCAGAAATAATTATGGTTTCATCCAAATAGAGCAAATCTTTATCTTTTTAAATGCTGTAGTTTAAACTGACAACACGACCACAGTTTAAATAAAGTCAGAGATAATTTTTTTGGTAATTAAGATGATTAGCTTCCACAAATATTGTTCAATGATTCCAAATAAAAACCAGAAGTAACCTGTAAAATAAGCAAAACTTGTTTTAAAGTGTTACTGTAAAATGTTCATATTTCCAAAAATAAAAAAAATTGTAATTTACCAGCTTTCTTTGGTTTAGTTTAGGTTGCTAAGTAATTCTGGAAGTGAAATGGAAAACCTACTTTCACCCCAAACCAGAATAACAACACAAACAAAGAGCAGCAGTTCCTTACTGGAATTTAAATTTGTCTAAATAAAAACTCAGTTTTCAGTAAACAGCAGCGTCATTGTCCCGTTGATGTGCCAGTCTGGGCCAAAACTCAGCTGTCAAGCAGATGGCGTCCCATTTGACATCAGAACATTTCTGTATACAGAGGAGGTTATTGTTACTTCAGTGACTGCAAGCTGCTAAGCAAGGACAAATGATCAACCCCTCACCATCGCGCTTGAGAGCTGTTGGGAGGGATTTTTAAGGCCACATCGCTTTCTTGTTTGACACAATGGCAAAGTTAAAAGAAATCAGCTAAGATACATGAAAAAGTGGAGCTGCACAAGTCTGGCTCATCATTGGGAACAACTTACAGCTGGCATCCCCACTTCAACCAGAATTTGATGAACACACAAGTAGATCTACAAGAACTCAATGGAGCTGAAGTGAGGCCTGCAAGTCAGTCCGACCAAATCTTGTAGTTAGTCTCTGATAAAGTCTCCTGCAGTGATACTGCCTCCAACACTTGGTCTGACCACACTTAGATAGATGCAACTCACATAATCAAATCTACTGCTAAGCCCAAACTTATTTTTCATTGCAAATGTGGCACCATTTAAAGGGAAATAAACGAAAAAAGACAAAAAACATTTGGATCTCGGTTTATCAGAGCTATTTCAGATCTGAGAACATGTTAACTTAGCACTTCAGCCAGCTAATCTGAATAAATATGACCAGAAGGAACAAGAAATGACCAAAGACTGCAGCTTAAAGTCTTATTTACCAAAATACAAGTTGCCTTAAAAAAAAAAAAAAAACAGGTACAACCTCCTGAAATTTATTAGGCAAGTCAATTAAGTGGGACACAATCTTAATACTATGGTAGACCTTGTAATACTAATAAAATGTCATTTTATTGTGCTTTTAAAACTACCGAGTTTTCATGCGCACATATGTTGACTTGCAGCTCCCTATTAAATGGCTTGTATTACTGCCATATACAAAAACCGTTCTGGAAGAAAAACCTTGAATACAGCTTGAGCTAAGCTAGAGAGTACTTTCCTTTTATCTAGGCTATGTGAAGTATCGCATTTTAGCTGATATGACGTCTATTTTGTTCTTTTGGTGCTTTGATGCATGTCAAGGTGCTACAATCTGAATCCCTTAAAACTGCTGCTGTTTGAGTCATTTCTTCAGTTTCCCCTTCTGTGTATGACATGCACATCTAATCCTGACATGTTGATGGAAAAACAAGAACCAGGAGACACAAAGGAACAGAAGAGGATAAAACTAAGTTTCGGGTATAAATCCACAGAGAACCGTGTTTATGACTCGGTGATCATTCATCATTGTGTTCTTGGGCTTTCAGAAATACCTCATCACATGAACATCCAATGATGCAAACTTTTGTTGTGTCTCCCTTTTTACAGCAGTCATGCACTAAAGCATTTGAGGTCTGAATATTGAGCCGTTTCTGCTAGAATGATGCAGCGATGTGTCGGTCAGATCAGAATTGGACAATTTGGGTGAGCGTTATAGCATTTTAAAAAAAAAAAAATTAATACGTTTGAATAAAAGGTTAGGTCTATGCTTTGATGCAGATATATATGCATTATTCCAATTGTGAATTCATACTTCATGTGTGACGATTTGTATTTTAACATCTTGATCGTAAAACACAGTCAGCATCTTTCACTTTCTTAAGCTCCATCTAAAGCCCTCTCGTTCACACTGATCCTTCTCAATTGTTGCGTTTAAAGGGAAGGATGTGCTGTCTCGTTTAACAGCTGTGCGTAGGAAGGAAATCCGACTCCACACACGTTTCCTGGTCACAAGCCTCCACGGAGATATAAGGAAACAACCACAGACGTTCAAACACTCAATTCAGGAGGGGATGAAAGCTTTCTGCTTGGAATATTTCTGAGCTGAAGTCACTGGGCTGAAACTTCCTTTAAATAATAAGAAGGTCCTGCTAATACGCTGCAGGAGAGCTAAAAAAGAAATATTAAAATCAGACGTAGCAGAACTATGGCAGCTTTTGGGACTTGTAGTCAGACAGCTCTATAGCTCTGTAGCTTAAAGCAGAAATAATATGGTTGGTTAATAAACCTCAGATTTTGTAAATAATGCACTCTTCAATCACCTCATGCATATTTGTAATAAGTTACTTTTGCTATAAACCTCTGAGGACATTCAGGTCAACTGACCTGACCTCTGCAGGGAAGGTAAATAGAGTCATAGAGGTAACAATTGACTTCTCACCTACTTCTATTATTACCCTGAAGCTCATGACAAGTGAGACTAGTGCCAACTGGAGTAAAGTACTTTAAAGCAGATGCCAAGCAAAAGTTAGATTAAACAGTTAATGCTGAATTAAATAAAACATAAATATCAACAAACTTGATCTCCTGACTACAAAACAGAAGAGTAAGCCACTGAAAATGGTTTAGCTTGTCAAAGACAGAAGAAATAAAAGGACTAACGAATGTTTTTCTTAATCCCACACCTGCTACTTCTTAGCCCAACGTGAAAGAAGTACGATCATATTACTAAGTCAACTCATTTGAACTGAAATGAACTTTAACAGATTGTCAGACGGCGCTGCTCAGATTATCGACACGATGACATTTAATTCATGTCTGTACTCACAGAGCGTAAACGAGGACGGATCGAGGCTGTGTTTCAGAGTGAAGAGGTGGTGTTATCTGAAAGGCCTGGCAGTGCTGCAGTTGCTATTAGAAGGACTCGCGCTGTCCTCCAATAGACCTCTGAAGTTCTCACAACTATGAATAGCAGAAACATGCCCCTCCTCAAACAGAAACACAGACGCGTGAGACGCAGCAAGCTGCTCGCCGCGGAGTCACGCAGCTGGCGGGTTGAAGCAAACCCACAGATTGGATTCCCCCTTTTGTTCACCTCAGACACATCGGATGTGCAGTCAAGATTTTCGTCCGGCTCAGCACAAATTTAAACCAAAAATTAGAACAACATCTAACATTTTGAGTGTTGTAATTTTACAGAGCAAGAAGAAAGGTGAAGCTGTCCACAGTGATTTAAAGACTTGTTTCCACAGGTGTTTCGGAGTGTGAAACAAACATGAGGCATTATTTGGAAACTATGTGCCGTTTTCATTTTGGAGGAAACCGAAACACCTGAGTGTAGTTCAACAAAGACAATTAGCCTAAGCGTCTACCTTAAGGCGGTGCTAGCTAGGCATGGGCTGGATGTCCAACCTGAAGGTTGGAGCCTTTAAAAAGTTGAACTTTCAAAATACCTTAAATTATTCATCAAACTTTTCCTGCAGTTTAAATCCCTTTTTAATGAGAAGTCAGAGAAGGTGCTAAAGGGACTGGTGTCTCTCTTCCTGCCTGTTGCTGCACACTGCTGGCCAGCTGGCTGGAAGACAGTTAAAACATTTTTTCCTCACTTATTAAAAAAAAGACCAAATTTGGATCTGGGAGAGATATTTTCAGTGTCATAAAACACATAAAGTCAGAATGTGGGAACTAATGGAGTGCCAGATAACAAGCCCAGAGCAGCATGTCAGGTGATTTCCACAGGCTACCAGCTACCAGAGCTGACAGCCTGACTAATTGCTAATTAATTACTTCGGAAAACATTGTTTCGGCTAAACCTCAGAAAAAAACTTTTTTGATGCGTCATCAGGGGATGACAGTGTGGAACAAGTAAACCCCAGTGAGCAGTGCAGTAAAAACCTTCACAGAAACTATGCTTACAACCAACGAGCTCTGGCATGGAAGAAGTTACATCCCACAGTGGAAACAAAAAGCCATCGCTCCAATTAAACTAACAGCTCATGGCAGCTACCACTGGCATGTCACAGGCAGCATGTAACCAGATTGTTGCACTCCCAATGTTTCTCTGCAAGGAGTTAACAGCAATATATGTTTTTATATTTTTACTCCTTAAGCCTTTTTTTCACTGATCCCCCACATTGCTTCTACTTTTTGGCTCCATATTCTGTTTCTGTTTGTTAACATTAACTCTAGTCTGGACATCTCATTTTTTATAGAGGGGTTATAACAAACTTTTTTTTTTTTTTTTACTGCATCTTCAGATTAGCCATGTGAAGCTTTGCTAAAAAGTAAAGATTTGGGTTTTATAAAAAAAAAAAATAAAGACAGAAAGCAGATGAGTATCAGGAAATGTAGAAAAACTGAGCAGGAGTCCATTTATTGTGTTACATGTTAGGTAGAATACTTTGGTGGGTCATATTGATAAAAAACAATATCTATATGATAAACTACTTTCATATGTGACATATCTATTTAAAACCTTTTTTGCCAAAAAGTGTGGTAACTGCTGTAAGACACGATAACAAAAATTCTGCTTTTTAAGAATTTAACATAAACCCAAATGATTTAATTTTATCTCTTCATCGTTTCCAAGTGAGACGAGAAGAAAAATTTGTGGCAAAGATGTAAAATGAAAATACGAGCAACAGACCCCCTTCAGAGACTGCCTCCTGCAGATTATATGTGCTAACAGTCGCTGGAGGTGAAAGGTAGTCCTAAAAAACCTCCCCACCCACCTCCTCTCTCCATACTTGGCCTGGAAGACTCACAAGCCAATGGCAGAGCAAGTTCACAAGTCACACCACACTCCAGCAGAAGACACTGGGATCAGGGGAGTGAGGGGTGGGGGGGAGAAAGTGGGGAGGGCAGAAAGGTCATTTGACACATAACAGAACATGAAGACAGGCTGGCAGCTCCCTCCAGCAGCTGGAAGGCACATCGTAGCTTCGCTGTTAACACAAGAGCCACTCCAGACGCAGCCAGAAAGTTAAGAGTAATATGACACAATGCTGGTCAGACACACTTAATTTCCTCTACAATATTTCACTTCTCGCAAAGAAGTGAAATATCTGTACTTTACAGGAAGTCACACTAAAATATGAGTGACACATTCGAGGTAAAATAAAATGATCTTAATCTCAGGTAATTTGTCTTTAAATCAAAATCCAAACAGCAGAAGTGTTGCCATGTTTGAATCAGGGCTGTAAATTTGCTGTAGCTATTTTTGAAAACTATGAAACCTCACTTAGAGGTGACAGTTTCAGTAGAAATACAAAAAAAAAATCCTAAAAACTATCAGCTGCAGCTTTATTTGATACAATAACATCACATATTGTTTTGAACAAGAATCACATCATGGTAAGAAATAAACATAACACAGTTAAGATACAGCGCTTCAGTAACTGTACCTCTTAAGCTTTTGTACATTTTGTCAAGTTACATCCAAAAACTTCAATGTATTTTATTGAGATTGTACGACATACACTTACACAAAGTTACGCACAACTTTGAAGTTCTGTGATCTAATCTCAATTGTGGAGACATTTAAAGCAGATTGAGATTGCAAAACAGTATTTTCTTCTTTGACTTCTCAAATATGCACACCATTGTGTTTATCACTTGAAATCCCAGTGTGAAACATGACAAAAATGGAGAAAATTGGAAGCAAACTGTAGCTCATCTTGTGACTTCTCCGCCTCTTTTTGCAACAAGCACCGACAATCTTTACGCTGTGGTTCAGTAGGAACACCACTGAGACTAATGGTGCACCCGTTGGCTCAGTGATTAATTCACGACCGGCACACCCTGCCCCATAGGGAACATTCCAACAAAAAGACCAAATGGCTTTAATCATATATAAATCTCTTTCCATCTACATTTACAGGCTAATGTTTCAAGGCAAAGCCAGACCAGTTGAGCTAGTTTTACGAAGGTGAGTGACCAGGGGCTGTCTGAAAACGGCAGGACAGCTGACACCTTGCAACAAGTCACACAGAGAGGCATGCTGCTTGTCACTGTGCGGCTGTCAGATGGCTGGGCTCATGTGGCCCCAGTGTGACGCTTTTTCTGCACTTCCTGACTCGTGTCCACCCTACACCCAATCCCTCTCAGCCCCGGTTTTAGGAACCGAAGGCTGACCTTGGACAAGACGACCACGCTGAGTAGCGCAGGTCCTGCCCCTCCCCGATGATGAAACCTCACACTGCCGGTCACATGAGGGACAGCATGGAAATGTATAGAGCGGGAAGGGTGGAGGAGGGGTTAGTGAAGTAGAGCAAAGGTCACACGTCTGCCAAGAGTTTCCAACCAGTCAACCATTCTTAACGCAGATCACAGAGAGAGTACAATCACTCTGACCACACTGTCCGGTCCGAGGGTCACGTTTGATAACCAATATTCTTGAGCATTAGTGTGAAGCTGGAGCAAATCAACCAGTTAGCTTAGCATAGAGAGTGAAAGCAGCTACTTAGGCCGACTCCTCAACTTCTTCTGCTTTTACAACATTAATTGGTTCTGTAATAAAAACACATTTTTTCAACAATGTCACCACCGGCAGCCTGAGGGCCACAAAGGGTTTTTTTCAAAGCAGCCAGCTACTAAATGTTATTATGTCAGTCAGATTTGTAGATCTGGCTATGACGTACCTATTATTACTATTTTTAAAGTCTGTGTCTCCATGTCTTTTGCAATGGCTCATCGACCCGTCGTAACACACACACACACATTCAAACATATTCTTTTTTCAGAACTGATGACGGATGAACAGAGGGAGCGCTTGCTTTTCCAGATGCACTGAGGAATCAGCTGCCTTTACGCCCCGGCTGGTGGTCGACTGGTTGGAAGCTAAAAATGTAATCTCGTAAACAAAGCATGCCCAAGATCTACCAGGTGGAAATGAAAACTTTTTGGTGGGAAAAGTGTAATTGACTGAATGAGACTTAAGGTGAGACATTTTCACACTGTTTCAAATCAACTCTTAAGAGTTCAAAAAAAAAGGAAGGAAGCTTCAAGAAAGCTTTGATTCTATTGCAAAACAGCAGACTTCACCAGAAGTACAAACTATGCCGTGTCCTTAGATATAATTTTTACAGTGAAATCAGAATAAGTTAAATAAGTGAGGGTGTTACATCAGAAATCTGTGCACCCAAGTAAACTTTCCTGAGATGACATTAAGATAAGCATTTTATTTGGAAAAAAAAAACCCCAAAACAAACAAGATAACAGTTCTTTAGGACTTCCAAGTAGGTCGTTCCACTCAAACAGCCATGCAGATCAGATTTGTTTATCCTGCAAGGGTCATTTCTGCTCTCACAATAAGTTTTTTTCAACTTAATGTAGTCACGGTACAAGACTTAAAAGTTGTCGGGATGATGACAGTCAGTCTCAAAATGTGATCTTAATTTCCCGCTGTGAAGGTCACACAGACAGGCCGATTGTGTTGTAAACATCAGCTCTTTTAGGCTGCTCTAAGTCCCACAACAGACAGAGTCATCCTGGTATTCTCAAATGACCGAGGACAGCGTAATGACAGGGTCGCAGAGCCACAGTCTCTCCCTCTGTTTGCTATAAAGAAATCTGCTCCTGTGCTCAAAGGGGAAACATGTGACTTCTCCACGGTCACTTTACTGTCTCTCTGTTTGCCACGGATGTGGAAAAACTGCACTGTGTGGTCAATTAAAAAGAAGGAAAAAGAAAAAAAAAGGACACCTCACTCAGTCTGCATTCCACAGACTCCTGTAAAAGGAAGTTTACTTTAAAATGCCTGCAGTGTCTGCACCTTGTCTGCCTGGGTCTGTCTAAAACCAGCTGAGGACACTTACAGAAGGATTTCTGCAAAAAGTGTATTGCTTTACGGTCTATTGTACAATGTTTTTTTTTTGTGCCGCGGGAATCTTTCCACATTTTGTCTAATAAAATGCATTAGACATAGCAGATTGTTTC